ACAAACCCTAAACCCGAAACACAAAGCCCTGCATGGGGATCTAGTTTCGGAATTTGTCGCAGAGCATTTCTGATGTTTCGTGGGTGTCCCGGAAACCTGACCCCAGCCCCATAAGGGTATCCCCAAAGATTCCTGCTGAGTCGTCAAGCATTGCTCATGTTTCGTGGTGTCCCTAAACCTGAACCCCCCGCCGCCCCCCACCCCCCCCAGTATTCCTACTGTGTTTAGTCCTATAGGTTCTTGAGGGTCCCCATCAAATATGTACTAAATTTCCAAGAATATTTTATCATGGATTGTCATGGATTAGGGATTTGGGGGGGGGGGGGGGGGGTGAGCCTCAACCGGTTTAGGGTTTAGGGTTTAGGGTTTAGGGTTTAGGGTTTAGGGTTTAAATTAGGGTTTAGGGTTTAGGGTTTAGGGTTTAGGGTTTAGGGTTTAGTGAACCTTAGACCCCAAAAAGCCCACTGGGCTTGGCGCAGCCAGCTTGTTCTCATCGATGTAGCTCCAGATCTGGGCATTGAGGGCTCCACTTTTTAGGGTTCATAGGGTTTGTACGGTTCAGGGTTTAGGGTTTAGGGTTTAGGGCTTAGGGCTTAGGGCTTAGGGCTTAGGGCTTAGGGCTTAGGGGCTTAGGGGCTTAGGGCTTAGGGCTTAGGGCTTAGGGCTTAGGCTTAGGCTTAGGCTTAGGGCTTGGGGCTTAGGGCTTAGGGCTTCGGGCTTGGGGCTTAGGGCTTCGGGCTTAGGGCTTCGGGCTCAGTCGGCGGGGATACGTAAACCCATTTTTATGACCTCTTACACGGTCTCGATGTTAATGATGGCAGCTTCCATATCGGAGGTTGATCTAGTTTCCGAGCCCCAGAGTATGGAAGAGAGTGCATGTTCCGTATAGTTTAGGGTTGCAGAAAGGGCCAAAGTTGTAAGAATCCCAAAACCAAACATCATGGACTCAAACCCTTGAGCCTTCAAACCCATCAAACCTTGTAAGCCCTTGAACTCTTAAACCCCTAATCCCATAAAGCCCAATTCTAAAGTGCTAAAAATCAAAAAGCCTATAACCTTAAACCCTTAAACTCTTAAACCTATAAAGCCCAATTCTAAAAACGCTCAAACCCGAAGACCTACAACCCCAAGCCCTAAAACCCTGTGCCGGTTCCAGGGGAGGCCCGGGCGCTTCACGGCACAGGCTTACGTTGTGCAGCTTAGTGCTAAACCCTAAACCCTAAACCCTAAACCCTAAACCCTAAACCCTAAGCCCTAAACCCTGCGCTAAACCCCTCAAGGGATGGCAAACCAAGGCCTAGGGGTTTAGTGTTTAGGGGTTTAGGGTTTAGGGGTTTTTAGTGTTTTTAGGGTTCTTAGGGTTTCTAGGGGTTTTAGGGTTCTTAGGGTTTCTAGGGTTTTTAGGGTTTTTAGGGTTTAGGGTTTATAGGGTTTAGGATTTGTAGGGTTTAGGGTCTAGGGTTTGTATCTAAGATCTGTCAGGGTTCTCGTATGGGGTCGACATCTAGAATGCTTGTGGGCCAAATGGGTCGATAAAGCTTATGATGAAAGGTTTGTAAGGTTCTTAAGGGAGGGGGTATGTCACCCAAGGTTCCCGAATCGGTTCCCTTGCTACCTACCCCCTACACCCTAAACCCATTGAACCCTTGAATCCCCCTCCCTTAAGAAACCCATAAAATGTGCAGGTCGGCTTGATGGCTTGGGGTTTAGGGCTTAGGGCTAGGGTTTAGGGTTTAGGGTTTAGGGTTTAGGGTTTAGGGTTTAGGGTTTAGGGTTTTGGGTTTTGGGTGAGTTTACTCTCCAGACCACCCCTTAAACCCTAAACCCTAAACCCTAGACCCGGTGGCGCCCCCTCAAAACCCCAGGCCTCCTTGGCAAGGTGCGGCCCGTCCTTGTCGTAGACGGAGTGGGGGCCACCACCTGGGCTTCGGGCTTTCCAGGGTTTATTTAGTCTAGGGTTTAGGGTTTAGGGTTTAGGATTTAGGGTTTAGGGTTTAGGGTTTAGGGTTATGCCAAGGATACCAGCCCTAAAGCCTAAACCCTAAACCCTAAACCCTAAACACTAAACACTAAACCCTAAACCCTAAACCCTAAACCCTAAACCCTAAACCCTACACCCTAAACCCTAAACCCTAACCCTAAACCCTAAACCCTAAACCCTAAACCCTAAACCCTAAACCCTAAACCCTAAACCCTAAACCCTAAACCCTAGCCCTAAACCCTAAACCCCAGGATGCCACGGCCAGCCTAAACCAACCTCAGCCCCCGAATCTCCAAAGCAGCCAAAACCGCCAGTCCCGAACTCCTAGAGGGTCCAGGGTTTAGGGTTCAGAGAGAAGAGTTCCCTGAACCCTAAACCCTAGACCCCCTTTCGGTTTTAGGGTTTAGGGCTCAGGGTTCGAAACCCTAGCTTGGTTGAGCACAGAACGTCTTCAGGGTTCAGGGATCCTCTTGTTTATGTCAGGGCGAGTGATATATGCCTTTACAAAGAGAAACTCTAAACCCTAAACCCTAAACCCTAAACCCTAAACCCCTAGAGGCTACCGCCACCTTTGGAGCGCCCACACTGCCTGTGCTTCGCGGAGGCACTCGAAAACCGGGAGGCACGACACGCCAGGCCTGTCTGACATGGTCCCATGGTCTGTACAGGGTCACCCTAAACCCTAAACCCTAAACCCTAAACCCTAAACCCTAAACCCTGAACCCTAAACCCTAAACCCTAAACCGCATCTCTGTGCAGGTGGGCTGCTCTTCGAGCAAAAAGCCGCAAAAGGTGCAAAAAACTCGCAAAACTCCGAATTCAGACCGGCGCTCAGACCCTGAGAGCCATGGCCAAGTCTTCCATGTTCGCCGCCTTCCTCCTGTTTAGGGTTTAGGGTTTAGGGTTTAGGGTTTAGGGTTTAGGGTTTAGGGTTTAGGGTTTAGGGTTTAGGGTTTAGGGTTTAGGGTTTAGGGTTTAGGGTTTAGGGTTTAGGGTTTAGGGTTTAGGCGAATTGGCCGCGGCTTGGGGCTAAGGGTGCAGCGTTTAGGGCTCAGGGTGTGGGGCCCATTCTTCACTTGGAGCAGCTAAGGGCTGTTGAGGCGTTGCTTGGCGCTTTGCCTGTATGCTAAGGGTCCATGTACCTATCTATCTATCTATCTATATATATATATAATGCATGTACATATATATATATGTATATATATATGTATACATATATATATATAGTCTATACTTGGGCCTGAACGGGTTCCCCTATAGCAGCTCTAGGGCCCAAATATATACTACATAGGTACATGGACCCTAAGGCCCTAAGGGCTATGTACCAACTGTCTTCAGCACCTGCCCAATACCGGAGCCTCACACAACTACCACTCCCTAACAGTCCACGTGCCTCACTATTGTGTACTTCCCACAAGTCCCTATGTAAGAAGCACTTTCAGGCCCCAAGTATTCCCCCTTTAGGTACATGGACCCTTAGGGACTGTGATCCCCTCTCACCCCCTGAGATATTCACTCATCGCCAAACCTTCAAAATTCAACAGGCCCCTGCGATGAACCCTTATAAACCCTAAAGCCTAAAGCCTACACCCTAAACCCTAGGCCTGGACAGTCGCCTCAACGTGGCCACCAGAGCCAGTGCCAAGCACACAAGGCTCAGGACCAACGCTGTCAAGCGCACTGCCTGCAGATCCTCGGCATCTTCGCAATGCGACCTAGGGGACCCTCCTAAACCCTGAACCCGATTCCTAAATTTTAAAACAGTGCGCCTTCTATTTAGGATATCCTCAAAAAGACCACAAGTCACCGAGCTGCCGATGTCCACTGCCCTACTCACAAAAACGCTTGTGCTGCTTGAGCGGAGTGCTCCCTAATTAAACCCTAAACCCTAAACCCTAAACCCTAAACCCTAAACCCTAAACCCTAAACCCTAAACCCTAAACCCTAAACCCTAAACCCTAAACCCTAAACCCTAAACCCTAAACCCTAGACCCTAGACCCTAGACCCTAGACCCTAGACCCTAGACCCTAGACCCTAGACCCTAGACCCTAGACCCTACCCTAGACCCTAAAATATAAGCCTGAGATGCCATGTCGGGCCAGTCGTAGAAGTTGAACCGGGTGGGCCGCTTCAGATTCCGGGCCTCTCGCGAGGCGCACCACGTCGACTCTGTAGCCCGCTATCGCCCTCCCAGGACCCACCCCCTTGGGGCCCAAATGAACCTTAAGATTTTGGGCCCATTTACCCTATACTGCTAGTATCTGGGAATGCTCCCCCCTTCTGCTAAACGTCCTTAGTTATGATTCTAGTACGCCCTCTTGTAATCCCGATGAAGGACTGTTGGTAGAAGGGGGGAACATCCCAAGCTTGAATCCTTCATAGGGTATTGTGAAAGGGTTGAATTGGTCCTTCAAGGTCGGGCCATGAAGAAACATGAAGTCACGGACGCGGCGTGTCTTCAGCAAACCTCTTTCAACCTCTCAAATGGGGGGTTTACCAAGATAACGGACCCCCAACGTAAACCCCAAATAGTAGGATCCCCTTATAAGACAATGACCTCAGTAAGGTAACTCTACACCCTAAACCCTAAGCCCTAAACCCTAAACCCTAAACCCTAATTTCGTAAACCCCCCAAATGCCAAATGCTTCAGAACGGTTGCAGCCCCACCTCGACCAGCTCATTACGGATTCCTGGCAGCAGGTCACTTCTCCATCTTTCACTCAACCCAAGAGTAGCCTAGGAATAAAAAGCGCACCCTTTTTGGTCTTAAGGGAGTTGGAATCCCAACCCTAACAAAGCAAATAAGGGCCTGCTCCCGGTCCTAGAATTTCCATGCCTTGCAGTCAATGATACAATTAGCAGCAGCCCGAGCCCTCTTCAAGCAAGGGCCCGGAAAACGGTGGAACCCTACGCAATCATCCATCCCCCCCCCCCTCCCACAACCCACACCCCCTACCTCCTAAACCCCAAACCCTAAACCTCACCCGCGCTCCCCCCCAAAGGGCACCTTAAAACCTCTATAGCAGGCAGATGTCGCTACAACCTCCAGGGTCGTTGCCCACACGGCCCCTCGGCCCTAAATCTAAGGTTTCCACAACCATTCCGCCTCGCGCTGGGTTCTGCTTCGCGTTTTGAGTTCCGCATCGTCGTGCAACGTGTGCGCTCTGCAGAACGGTTTTTGTCAGGTGGAACGGTGTCTGAGGCAGAACGGTCACTGACAGGCTTCAACTCTATCCGAAGCATTCTACTGCCTCAAACAGAACTCCAACTCTCAAAACAAAGCTCGGTCGACCATTCAGCCTCGCGCTGGGGTCCGTTTCGCGCTGTGGGTTTCGCATCGCCGCATGACGCCCGTGCTCATGCAGAAGGGTGTTTGTCAGGTAGTACGGAGCGCGAGGCAGAACGGCAAGGGACAGCTTAGACTAAACCCTAAACCCTAAACCCTAAACCCTAAACCCTAAACCCTAAACCCTAAACCCTAAACCCTAAACCCTAAACCCTAAACCCTAAACCCTAAACCCTAAACCCTAGCCTTCTTCCGGCCGGTCCTGCCAGGGCCCAAGAGGCCACCAACCCGACGATGGCGTCGCCCCGGGGTGCAAAGCTGAGAATGCTCACCTTTCTAAGAGTAGCACATGTTGGGGGTTTAGGGTTTAGGGTTTAGGGTTTAGGGTTTAGGGTTTAGGGTTTAGGGTTTAGGGTTTAGGGTTCGGGTTTAGGGTTTAGGGGTTTAGGGTTTTGGGTTTTAGGGTTTTGGGGTTTAGGGCTGCATGGTCCTTTGAGATGGCCCCTTACCTCCTTTAAAGGGCTCTGGAGTATGGGCCCTTGGGTTATGTGGGGTATACAAGGGGTCCTCATTTAAGGGCCCATAGCTCCGAAGGGACCATGTGACTACCCTAAGAACCTTCTAAGGACCAAATGAAGCCCCAAAAGGGTTTAGGGTTTTGGGTTTAGGGGTTCTTATACCCTGATAGGGATTCTACTGGTATAGGGTATATACATATTTCTATACACACACATATAGGGTTCAGGGTTTGGAGTTTAGGGTATATGATTCCAGCTCTCTTGCTCAAGTGTTTCCAGCCGAGGCGCCAGGCCCACGACGGCGGCGAAGCTGAGCATGGCCAGCGCCAGCTGCGTCGAGGGCGCCGCGTGAAGGCGATCGGCCATGACGCAGAGGTTCACCGCGCTGGCCGCGATGATCCAACCTCATGGAAACTTACAGGTCTTAAGGAGGGATCCCTTAAATCCTGAAGCCTCTCTCAAACTCAAACTTCTCCTGCTTAAGAGGGCTTAGAAGAGTTTATAAGGGCTTATAAGAGTTTATGAGGGCTTACAAGGGTTTACAAGGGTTCAGAAGTTTCTGAAAGATTATAAGGGCTTCTAAGACTTTACGAGATTACAGGGCTTGTGAGGGTTTATGAGGGCCTATAGGGGTTCAGAAGAGTTTATTCGGCTTTTTGTTTTTTCCCCATCCGCCTGCATGCAGGGAGAATGGCGCCCGCACGAGCCAGAACTCTGAAGTGGTCACCTGGGCCCAAGAGGGTTTAGGGTTAGGGTTTGGGGCTTAGGGTAACTAGACCCAAGAAAACCAACTAGCCTTGGGTCCTAGTACCCCTAAACCCTAAACCCTAATCCGAGCACCTGTTGAATTAACCCCCCCCCCATATTTAAAGATTTTTTTCTCCGGAAGCCCGCCGAAAGACTACTTTCCATTACGGTGGATTTGGTATGGACATAACCCCCCACATTTAAAGATGTTTTTTTGGGGGGTTTGCAAAATCTGATCGTAGGCCTTTTTTGTGTCTTCGGACCTGCAATTTCGATCTGTGTTTCTATACATTCCTATTGCTTTCAATACACTCTTATTGTTTTTAATAAAGAATCAATGCAGGGTCATGGTCCAACTATTGCGGAACCCTGCATTCCTTATTGTGGGGGGGGGGGCCCACCAATTAAACAAGAGCTCGGATTAAACCCAAAACCCAAAACCCAAAACCCTAAACCCTAACAAGGGCCTACTCTGGGACAGAGTCACCGGCTGGAGATCGCTGCGCGCCATACCCGCCAGGAGCGAGGCCAGGATCCCCAGCATGCCTTAGGGTTTAGGGCTTAGGGCTTAGGGTTTAGGGTTTAGGAGTCAGGGTTTTAGGTTTAGGGTTTTAAGGGGGTTTGGGTTTTTAGGCTTAGGGTGCATAGGGTTTGGGGTATAGGGTTTAGGGTTAGGGTTTCGGGTTTAGGGTTACACCCTCTGGAAGATACAGTCCTACATTCTGAGATCCTCGTGGATCCCCTAAAACGTAACGTATTCCGAAGCAAGACCTTTCTTGAAAACCCTAGAAGTGGACAACCAACAAAGACTTGGAAACCCAGTGAACCCCAAAATTGGGATCATATATGCCCTATGCCACTATGGTCCTTACTAGGGCATGTCAACCCTGAACTAGGATGGCCCTTGGGCCTTAAGACCCTCTGAACAATATTCCTCAATATGATCCTCTTAAACCCAATAAGGGAAAAGACGATATTTCAACTAGGCTGCCCAGTAACCAAGGCTTAAAAAGGGTGCCCCTTTTTTGCTTAAAGGGGATTCTAAGGGAACCTAAACCCCCCCAAAAAGGGAATAAGGGTACTACTGGACATCCTAGTATAAGGGAACCTGAACCCTAAACCCTAAACCCTAAACCAGAAACCCTAAACCCTAAACCCGTCAAGGGCCTACCTAGTAAACCTTCTAGGGTTCCTTTGGTCCTTAACTGCCCGCCAAGGGTACAGACAAAGGCCAAGGTGATCATCTCCTGGGCGAAGGCCAAGGTCCAAGCGCACCTGGCTAGGGTTTTATAGGGTTTAGGGTTTAGGGTTTAGGGTTGAAGGGCCTGGGGCTAGGGTTTAAGTGCTGCGGTTGGTGGTTCTGCAAGGGCTTGTCAAAAGAAGGGCTGAGGGTACTGGCCCGGGATTTAGGAAGTAGGGTTGGGGCCTAGGCTGGATGGTGTAGGGTTGTCGATCGGTCTCAGAAAAGGAGTCACAAAGGCTTTAAGGCATTCATGGGTTGGGTGCTCCCAGTCCTTAATGGGATTCTAGTACCCCCCCCCCCCCCCCCCCAAATATGATCCTATTGAGGATTGTTAGTCGGGGGAACATCCAAAGTTGCAGGCTCAATGTTTAGGGTACAGGTAGCACACAGGGCTCGGTTTCCCAGGCGCAAAAAAGAGGGGCCCAACAACAGCCTAAACTCTCAAGCACTAAAATCTAAACCCCTGACTCCTAACCCTCTCAACCCGAAATACACGAAACATACCCTAAACCCGAAGCCCCTACATCCCTGAACCCCCTGAACCCCAGCACCCCTAGACCCCATGGAGTTTAGGGTTTAGGGTTTAGGGTTTAGGGTTTAGGGCTCACCAAGCAAAAAGGGCGACCATCTCACCACCTAAGGTGCTGGAAGGCGCATGCTGACAGCCAGAAGGGTGTCATGTCGAAGATCAGCTGACTGCTGCGAAACCTCGGGGTTGAAACTCTAGGGGCTTCTATAGGTTTTTGGGAGTTTTGTGCGGGTTTACAAGGGCTCATGGGTTTTTTGAAGGGTTTATACGGGCTTATATAGCGGTTCTTGAGGGTTTAGAAGGGTTTGGCGGGTTTAGGGTCTAGAGTGTCTGCGAATCCGGGAGGTTGAGGCTTTCCGGGCTAAGAGGATGTTTTAGGGCTTAGGATTTGCAGGGCGTATAGGGCTTAGGACATTCAGGGTCTTGGGGTAACAGGGGTCAGTGGGTTTAGAGCTTTTAGAGGGGTTTAGGGTTTTGGATTTGGGGTTTATAGGCTTCATGGGGAATCTGGGGTTTCTAGGACTTTTACTGTAGGGCTCTTAGGATTTCGAGGGTGTAAGTGTAGGGCTTGTAGGGTTTAGGGCGTTTAGGGTTGGGGGGGGGCCCTAAGGCTGCAAGGCCGTGGCAAAAGCATTCCTCGGTAAGATCTCCGGGTTTAAGGCTTTAGGGGTTTAGGGTTCAGGGTTCCTTCAACCCCCCGAAAAAATAAGAAAGGGAACACGAGAACAAACGTGCACACACACACACAAAGAGAAAAAATGATGATCATAATACAATAATAATAATAATAACATTATCAACCAAAAAAACGTCCCAATTGCCGACCTCGGGACTTGGCGAGCATCTGAGTCACTGCGAAGATCCCCTCCCAGATGAAGATGGGGCCCCAGATGGAGAAGGCGTAACCTGCAGGGTTTAGGGTTTAGGGTTTAGGGTTTAGGGTTTAGGGTTTAGGGTTTAGGGTTTAGGGTTTAGGGTTTAGGGGCTTTATGGCTTGAGGGGTTCAGGGAGGTTTGGGGGGCTCAGCACTTGGAGGCGCCATGGGCAGGTCTAACTGGGGTTTAAGTTCATGTATTATGTATATATACATATGTATATATACACATACACATATAGAAATATATACATATACATATATACACACACAAACTTTGATATATTTATTATGTACTTACTACACTATATGACATCATATTGTACCATATATGATATTATATTATCTTGTACTCGATTGTGTTGCATGATCTTAAACGATATATATATATGTATATGTATATATATATGTGCATATATATATATATAGATAGATATATTGTAGACATGTAACTTTAGTGACTATGTACTGGTTATAACCCTCCTCTGACCGCCCCATGGGCCTGCGGGAGTTACCAGGGTCTGATACTTGGCGCTGAGGTCCGTGTTGGTGGCCCCAAAGAGACCAGTCAGCGAGGCATAGGTCGTGGCAAAGTTCACCTGACTTGTGCCTTAAACCCTTTGAAAACTATTTATTCATGAATAGGTTCTCTTACAAGGAAAGCAGGGAAATTCAAGAATCTCCCCAAGCACAGCCCCGTCACCACGTAGGCCGCCAGATTGGCCCAGTTGCGCCATCCCAACTTCTCAGCCGCCATGACTTCTATGCGGGGACGCAAACCGTGGAGTGCGGTGCAGGTGGAGCTTGCTAGCGAGCTTGATTCAGGAGGACGGCGCAACACCCACTCAAAGGGAAACGCCTCTCAGACGGCCTTACACACGCTATGATTGGGTACGGGAGCGGGAGGCGCCCCGGCAGCTTCCCCTAAACCTTAATCCCTGAACCCTGGACCCTAAACCCTAATAAAGGCCGAACAAGAACCGAGCAGAAGAAGGGGAAGCGTTGGACAGATGGATGGCCAAACGGCAGCATCACTTGGAACCCTCGCACAAACCATCATTTTGTCTGCTTCTTAGGAGTTATGCCCCCAAAATCTAGACTCGGGAGTAACCTAGGAATAAACAGGGTACCCTTGTGGGGTTTAAGGGGATTCTAAGGGAACCCCAACCCTAAAAAAGGGAAATAAGGGCCTACCCCCGGTCCTGGAAATGTAACTTATTCCCAGGTTTCCCGAAGCTTCCTGGAAGGACTGTGAATGTCATTGCTCCACCAGCATGTTGATTAAGCTGGGTTTTGAAGTGGTTTGGGTGCTATAGTTGTGGTGGTAGTCCAACCCTCAACAACGCTGAAAGCATAAGAACCCTAAACCCTAAACCCTAAACCCGAAACCCCTTCGAGCCGGAACACTGAGAATGATCCCATGGGGGTGGAAGGACTTGACGTCGGCGACCGTGAGGAGGCAGGACCTGCTCAGGACTTAGGGAATTCGGGTTTAGGGTTTAGGGTTTAGGGTTCAGGGTTTCGGGTTTAGGGTTTCGGGTGGGTTTAGGGTGTTCGGGCGGCGTGTATACACCACCCAGTTTGAGTATCCATGTCTTCATCTCAAGTTAGAAGGCTATAATGACCTTCAGCTAGGGCTCAAGGTTTAGCGCTCATGGTTTCTGGCGTGGATATTGGGATTATCTTGGTTTTCCTTTGGCATTTGAAGGCCCTCGACCACAAACCCTGAGTCCGAAACCCTAAACCCTAGATAGACCTGCCCGCGCCGCCAAGTACTCATGCAAGACATCTTAAGTGAATCTCAAGTACCTGCAATCGAGGGATTCTTGATCGAGGGGCGCGTACTTGAGGCTTTACGGGAGCTTGAGAAGACTTGCCATAAGCAAGAAACCAATCCAAATTGCAGGGCCCTCTGCCCTAAGCAAACAAGAATACACGATCGCTGAGACCCCCGCAAAACCTACATGCTGGATCAACCCCAGAACCCCGAGACCCGGGAGAAACCTAGGAATAAAAGGGTACCCTTTTATGGCTTTAAGGGGATTATAAGTAGGGAACCCCAACCCTAAAAAAAGGGGAAAAAGCGCCTACTCCCGGTCCTAGTAGCCCTAAACCCTAAACCCTAACCCTAAACCCGAAACCCTAAACCGCAGCATAAGCCCATGGCCTCAGCTCACAGTAGACGCCGGCTTCTCGCACTCGGCGGCAGATGAGGTGGCTCACCTAGCAAGGGTTTATAGGGTTTAGGGTTTAGGGTTTTGGGTTTAAGGTTTAGGGTTTAGGGTTTAGAGTTTAGGGTTTAGGGTGGAATCCGGATTCTCTGTCAAGTGTTTGCCCCAAGGGCCCCCAAGACCCCAAAAAACACGGCCTTGGGGCCCCCAAAACAGATGAACAGCCGTAAATAATGGGGTCTTGGGCCCTCAGGGCTAGAGTTTTGGGATTTTGGGCTCCGGGTTTAGGTGGCTTAGGGCTCTCGGGGGGCTTTACAAGGAGGCCCCCCCCCCCCGGTTTGTAAGCACCCTGAATTGGGTCATAAGGCTCCGAACGTAGGTGATAAGTCCCTTAACTGTTAGTATAGTAGGGGGGGCCCTCCTTGTAGAAACATGTTCGGGCCTTTCTGTACAACAGTTCGGGTGCTTGGGTTTACGCTTCAGGCTTTAGGGTTATCTAGGATTGAGGTTTAGGACCCTGAGCCCTAAACCCTAAACCCTAAACCCTAAAGCCTAAACCCCAAACCCTAAACCCTAAACTTAACCCTAAACCCTAAACGCAAGTAGCCAGCCATGCTGCGACTTCCCTTGACCCGACGTGTCAGACCAGGGATCGACTGGATCCGAAGTCGAACTAAGGCTTAGTTGCTGAGTTCATAAGCCCCAAAAAAGTGTACACTTTCAGTTCTAGAGGGGTTATAGTATATCCCAAAAGGTGTAAAGTGTACTCACTCAGCTACTCAGAAGGTCTGCTTGAGGTGTCACACCATCTCGTTGGCTCCAAACACATCCACACTCAAGGGCTCAGAGAAGGGCGACTTAGGGTTTAGGGCTCATCGGGCTCAGGGTTTCGGGTTGAGTATAAGCCAAATAAGCCAACAAGTAACAAGCCATAAGCCTGGTTCACGGTTTAGGGGTTCCTAAATGTCCCAAGTCCTCCCTATAGGCCCAAGCCGCCAACCCTGACCCGTAGAACCCTCAAACCCAAGTCCCCCACAACCCCTAAGCCTAGACGCTAAACCCAGAACCCTGAACCCCAAACCTAACCCACTGACGCAATGAACTCATCACACACAACTTGTGGCATCCAGGGGTTCACATTCCAGCTTAGACGCACTGCGGACATCTTCTTGGCAGCATTTCTGGACACCTGTGTCTGGCCGGCTCTCCCTTAGCCGGCGCAGGCTGCAGAGACGCATCATGCCTGCAAATGGTCGCCGTGCAAGCGCCGTCCTTGCACGCCACTGATGAGACAGAGCTTGTTGATGCTGTTTCCACGCCGCACGGCCCAGGGAAAACCCTCGTGTTCCCTCCCGTTGAAAATCCCGAAGGGTCCATGTCCTATATGCCATATATGTGGGCCCTAACGCTGCTATATAGGAGCCTCTGTAAAAGCCCAAGTATATACTGCATGGGTATATGAACCCTTGGGTTTTATTGTGCGGGAGCGCAGAGCTTGCCCGCTGCCGCCGCTTGCGGTGCTGGTTAGACGCTGAGCAACGTAAACCCTATAAGCCCTAAACCCTGGCAACCCTAAACCCTAAACCCTGAACCCTAAACCCTGTAAGCCCCAAGCCCTTGAACGAACCAAAACCGCCCGAAACCCACATAAACCCGAACGACTAAACCTCGGGAAGCCGCAGAACCCCAAAACCGCAGGATTTAGGGTTTAGGGTTTAGGGTTTAGGGTTTAGGGGTTAGGGTTTAGGGTTTATAGGGTTTAGGGTTTAGGGTCCTAAAACCACCCCAAAACACCCAACCCCCAAAGCTCAAACCATAGGCCAAAGAGACAAGACGCTCATGCGCCAAAACCCAAAACCCAAAACCCAAAACCCAAAACCCTAAACCCTAAACCCTAAACCCTAAACCCTAAACCCTAAACCCGGACCCTAAACCCTAAACCCTAACCCCCCCCCCCCCCCCGAAACCCTCGAAACCCTCAACGAGTGCCTGTGAGCCAAAGTCGATGACCAGGATCCTCTCCTGTCAGAGACAAGACCCCACATTGGCCCTAAGTCCCTGAACCCTAAACCCTAAACCCTCAACCCTCAACCCTAAACCCTAAACCCTAAACCCTATGTATACACCCTAAACCCGAACCCCTAAACCTGCACCCCGTAAGCCCTAAATCCCTAAACCCTAAGTCCCTGGATCCTCATGAACCCCCTAAGCCCCCGTAAGCTCCCGCCCCCCACCCATTAAACCCCCCAACACTGAGGTTACGGGGTTCTGAGGTGCCTGCGCCAGGCCCGAAAACCCCCTAAGCCCAAACAAGTGACTACAGCAGAAACCCTTAATAAGGGACCTTAGGGGTGATTTAGGGCTTCTTTAGGGGCTACTTAGGTACATAGAGACTGTATAAGGTATATATGGGGGTTACATCGGGGAATAAGACTAAGCACCCCTTTCTTCAAGTCTCAGGGATCAGGCCTGCTTCTCCATGCCGGCCATCATGTCTACCCCTGCTTTTGCCTGGGTCGTGAGGGCAGGCTTTTTTGGGGAAACCACACTGCTCAACCCTGCAGCCCCCCTAAGCCCGGAACCCTAAACCCTAAACCCTGAATCCTAAACGCGAAACCCTGAACCCTAAACCCTAAACCCTAAACCCTAAACCCTACTAAAAGTGGGGCCGCCACTTCTTAGTTGGCCCACAAGGTGCGGAAAGCTGAACCGGGCATTGCTCTTCTTAGGGTTCAGGGCTTTAGGGTGCCGGCCATGATCCCTTCGTATGGGCCCTTAAAAGGGTTTAGGGTTTAGGGATATACCCCCCTTTTCAACCTAAGGGCCCCTTCCGTCAGAACCCTTTATTTACTGGAGGTGGTCAGGGAGTATTTTAGGGGCCGAGAAAACTACCCTTAGAAGAATGACAAGTTTCCAGGCTCTCACAGGCACGCGTGACATGTCAGGTCCGATTCAAAAGCCAAGTATTCAGGGTAGGGTTTGGGGTTTGGGGTTTGGGGTTTGGGGTTTGGGGTTTGGGGTTTGGGGTTTGGGGTTTGGGGCTTGGGGCTTGGGGCTTGGGGTTTGGGGTTTGGGGTTTGGGGTTTGGGGTTTAGGAGGATTTAGCAAAAATCGCGGAGTGGGAGAGGGGGGGGGGGGGGTGTACAGCAAAAAGGGCCTCTTGTTCGGTTGAAAGCCCCAAGTTGTAAACCCTAAACCGCACCTAGACCCAAGCCGCCAAAGCCCAACCTAGGAATAACAAGGGTGCCCTTTCTTGTTTCAGAGGGGCTTGCAAGGGAACCTAAAACACCGAAACAAGGGAATAAGGGGCCTGCTGTGGGCTCTAGGTACAGACTCAGGCGAGGGCAGAGAAACTTCGTAAGGAAGGTTCCCATGTGAGACCGCCCCCCCCCCCCCCCCCCCCACCCCCATCCGAAGACTCGAAAACCTTAAGGTGTGGTGTTAGGGTTTAGGGTTCAGGGTTCAGGGTTCAGGGTTCAGGGTTCAGGGTCTAGGGTCTAGGGTTTAGGGACTGGGGGTTTAGGGTTTAGGGCCAGGCGCAGGGTGTTCACAGAGTAGGGTTGGGAAACTGTCCCAAAACCCCTCT